ATTTAAAATAAAAATAACACAATTATAATAACATTACAGAACATCTGTAATTTGAATATCCTCAAACATTGCCCGCTTCAAACAACTTTAATTGCCTGTCAGGCAAACAAAAGACAAAATCCATTAATGCAACTGAAAAAACCACTAGTATGTCAGATAAATAATCCTGTTTTCCTTTTTTGTTGTTTTACTTATTACATATTGTATCTCTTTTTATATGTATATTTTTAAATTTCTTATACAGCTTTTAAGATTTTTGCATGTTTTACATTTTATTTTATTAATTATTCATTTATTTATTTTACACAGGACCCATGTTGATAGGAGTATTTATAACTGAAATGGTCACTGTGCATAAATACATGCATGTTTATTTATTATTATTTATTTTCGTTATTATTACCTCTGTCCCATAAGGTTTCCTTGATATAACTTCAGGTGCGATCCAGTATGGAGTGCCGACAAGGGATTTTCTTCTTGGCATTTCTTCTGTCACTTGGGCACAGAAACCAAAGTCAGACAACTACACCTGCAGCAAGAAAAAATTTAAAAAGTTATTTCACATATTTTTGTTAAGTGCAAACAGATCCATATTTTTATGATAATAATCATAACCTGTGACCACTTACATGTACACTGTATGTACCCACNTTTAAAAAGTTATTTCACATATTTTTGTTAAGTGCAAACAGATCCATATTTTTATGATAATAATCATAACCTGTGACCACTTACATGTACACTGTATGTACCCACAACATAATTTGATGACTTTGTCTGTTTCATACATGTAATACTGAATCATATAATAGTAAAATAGAATAGCAGGCAGGAGGCTTAGAATCATGTATTGGATATTTTTCACATAAGGAAGTACAGTCGCAGTAAACGTTCACATACAATAAATTTTTAAAAGGTTCTGATTGGCCAACTGGCCCTATACTCACTTAGGGTTATGGTCAAAATCAAAATCAAAAAAATCTGATTGGCCAAAATACATGTATGTCTGAAAAATGTATTTTATGCACTTTTATTCACTTTCATTTGTGACCTGTGCGGGAAACAGGGAGATTCTGTCTTTACCCAGGAGACTCCCAGATAATCCGAAAGATTGGCATTACATGTACATGTAATATAAGCAGCCACC